TTATCCAGGAAGTCAGAAGGTGACATTGGAGCACTTCGAGATCTTGCACTATCTGTTTCCTTTGTAACAACCAAACTACAAATGAGAAAAAAAAAATGCATAGATTAAAAAACATATATATTTCTCACAATGATTACCTCCAAATATAAAACACATACTGAGCAAATGTACCTTCAAAAATAAAGTTTTATATATGACACAGTGAATATTGTTGTTTATAGGTGCTGTTGAGTTGGCTCTGACTCATAGTGACACTATCTATGTACAACAGAAAGAACACTGCCCAGTCGTATACCATCCTCACAATATTTGCTATGTTTGAGTCTATCCTCTACAGCCACTGTCTCAATCCATCTTGTTAAGGGTCTTACCCTTTTCGCTGACCCTCTACTTAACCAAGAATGATATCATTATCCAGGGACCAGTTGCTTCTGATAATATGACTAAAGTAAGTGAGACAGTCTGGCCATTTTTGATTCTGAGGGGCATTCTGGCTGTACTTCTTCCAAGACAGATTTGTTTGTTTTTCTGGCAAACCATGGTATTTCCAGTATTCTTTATCAACACAATTCAAATGCTTCAATTCTTTTGTGTTTTTTCTTATTGATTGTCCAGTTTTCACATCCATATAAAGCTATTGAAAACAGAATGGCTTGGGTCAGGAACACTTAGTCTTTCAAGTGACATCTTTGCTATTTAGTACTATAAAGAAGTATTTTATGGAAGATTTGTGATATGTCATCTTTATTTCTTGAGTGCTCCTTCCATTGGCATTGATTGTGGCACCAAGGAAAAGGAAATTCCTGACAACTACAATCATTTTCCCTTTATCATGATGTTTTTACCGGACCAGTTGTAACAATTTTTGTTTTCTTCAGGTTGAGGTGTGATCCACACTGAAGGCTGTAATCTTCAATCTTCATCAATAAGTGCTTCAAGTCTTCTTAATTTTCAAGCGAGCTTGTGTCATCTGCATATTGCAGGTTGTTAGTGAGTGTTCATCCAATCCTGATGCTTGTTTCTTCTTCATATCATCCAGCTTCTTGAAGTATTTGCTCAGCATATGGATTGAATAAGTATGGTGAAAAGATACAATGCTGACACGTCTTTCCTGCTTTTAAACTGTTCAGTATCCCCTTGTTCTGTTTGAATAACTGCCTCTTGGTCTTTGAACAAATTCCTCATGAGTGCAATTACGTGTTCTGGAATTCCCATTCTTTGCAATGTTATCCATAATTTGTTAGGATCCACACAGTCTGGTTGAATGCCTTTGCTTAGTCAATAAAATAAAGGTAAACACCTTTTAGTTTTCTTTTCTTTCAGATAAGATCCATCTTACATCAGCAATGATATCCTTCATTCCAATCCCTCTTCTGAATCTGGCTTGACTTTCTGGCAGTTCCCTATCAATATACTGCTACAACTGTTTTTTAATTACATTTAGCAAAATTTTACTTGAGTATGATGTTAATGATATTGTTTGATAATTCCCACATTCTGTTGAATCACCTTTCTTTGGAATGTGCATAAATATATATATATATCTTCTAGTTGGTTGGCCAGATAGCTTTCTTCAAAATTTCTTGGCATAACTGAATGAGTGCCTCCAATATTGCATCCATTTGTTGAAACATCTCAATGGATGTTCTGTCAATTCCTGGAGTCTTATTTTTCTCCAGTTCTTTCATTACAGC